CTAGTAAGGCACCTGTTACTACTAGCGTGGCACTTGTTCCTAGTAGCGAACCTTGTTCCGAGGCCTTCGTTTGGTCCAAAGAGAAGAACTTGATTCGACCGAGCGCTCGACCAGTTCCCCGAGAGCTGCCAAGCCCTCTCAAGGAAAAACGAAGAAAGAATCTGAAAGAACAAGGCTTCCGACCTTGTAGCTTCTAGTACCTTATTGTTTCTAATAGCAAACATTGTTACTACTAGTAAGGCACTTGTTACTAGTAGCTTTTTGTTTCTAAGATTGTATTCATTTGGAACAACACAGTGTCTGATAGTGCATGTGTGATTCGTGTGTGCTTTGCTGCTTTCTTCTTGTCGAACATGTTCCATACTGTCAATGTGAACTCTGTGAACTTCCTATCTTTTCATCATATTTTGGAAGCGACCAAGTGAAAGGACGTTACCACGTGAATATTGGCTTCCGGTTTTCAGCATCACTAGCTATCAGAAAGTGCGAAGGGGGCATTGTTGGCAAAATCCATGTGCGCTTAAAGTTGACCTCTCCACCGTCACCGCTCGTCCCGTTTTTCGAGACCATGCAAACGATGTTCTCTCCGGGGTGACATGAGATATTCGCAGAGGCCACCATCTTGCGAAGCAATTTCCAAACGAAGCACATCTGCAGTGTCTCATTTACTCAATCTCCAGAGCAGAAACCTACGTCAGCAAAGAGCCCGGCAAGAAACATCCACCTGTCTAGTTTTCAATTGAAGAACCTGATAGCCCCCACATGAGCAATTAGCTGCTGTTACACGGCTTAGAAGCAGAAGAGAAAATGTCGGGAGAGAATAATAGGAAAGAAGAGGCGAAGTGAGTTGAGAGCAGTGTATGAGCGCGCGTTTGTTTGTGTGTATTTACACCAGTGGCTGTGTGAAAGTCAAAGGGGACTGAGTTGAGAAAACACACATGTGTTCGAACATGGGCCTCAAAACACACGAAGGTATTTTAAAACACGCAAGTACATCGAACTCGGTGTGCTAACAGAATTGTATGTAGAATGGTGGGAACGGTGGGAAACATGGAGTTGCATAAATTCACTACCTGATGCTGGGCGCTTTCCCTCTCAAAAAAGACTTGAAAAGTCTGGTCAGATGCCACAGAACGGCTCAAAAACATGTTCCATGCTTCAGCCTGGGTCTCATACAAATCAAAATGCTACACATAGCAATAACATTCTCCTGAGAAATGGTTGAAGTTGTGACCCTTCTAAACACCAAGAAAGGACCCTAGAGCACAGAGATGCACCACTCCAAGAGGCAACGCAAATTAAGTTTCTTGCACAGAGGTGCATGGGGGGAGCCATTCTCCTCGGAACCCCTATTTTTCCGGCATTTTGTTCAGGTTGTTTCCGGAATTTTTTTCGCGTTTTTGCCCCTACTGCTTTTGGTTTTTGTTTTTGCTTTTGCTTCTGCTTTTCCTTTTGCTTTTGCTTTTGCTTTTTGCTTCTGCTTCTGCATTTGCATTTTTGCTTCTGCCTTTGCTTTTGCTTCTGCTTCTGCTGACTATCTTCTTTGCATTGACACTGCCACAAAGTTGGATGATAAGACCTTCACCTTGAGCTTTGACACCCAATTACACCAATCAAAGAAACGAAGCAGCCCAGCGCCGTCTATATTTGCACTGCGGGGGAGGCGCTGCGCCCTCCCCCGCACCCCCTCCCGCTCTTTTTTTTAATAGTTGCCACTACCCGTCCACCACGCCTACTATTTCCAATACCTCTATCACTCGGACCACCCCGCTAAGAAACTTTGCGTTGACGCTGCCACAAAAGTGGATTTCTACTTTGCTTAGCCCAAAGAAACCCGAAGCCACTGAAACCCAAAGACAACCGCAGAAAAGTCCCTATTATAGTTCCTCTCTCCTCTTTCCTCACTCCTACTTCTCCTTCGTTAAGTGGGACGCCTTTCCAGAAGAAAGCCTAAAGAAACCGAGCCCAAAGAAACCCGAAACCAGTGAAGCTAAAGACAACCGCAAAGAAGCCCCTAGTAAGTGGAATACCTTTTCTGTTCCCTCCCTTTGTCACTGTCACGCTGGCTTTGGCGCTTCGTCCCCTGCCCTTTCTGCTGCTCCTAGTGCTTGTAAAGCACCCCCAGCAGAAGCAAAAGCAAAAACAGTAGGTGAAAAAACGTTAAAAATACCGAAATAAATATCCATCCATTCTCCTCATCCTAAAGTTTCACATTAAAACATGGGATAGCAAAGGTTGGAAACCACTGCTCCAGCAATTTGTTGGGCAGCAAAGGATGGAAAAGTTGGGCAACCTTCTGCTTTTGTCGGACTTTGCACAGCAAAGGTGGCTGTGACATCCCGGTTGTGCGCGCAAAGGTCTCTCCAGCCTCGCTAACTCTCACGCGCTTAAAAACTTGTGTTTGGTCGCATCCTGACGGTTGCAGTGACCGGGACCGTTTGAAATGCTGGGAAGAGAAAGGAAGCTCGCAAAGCCAAATGCATTGCAGTCCCGAAAACGCATTGCGTTATGACTTATACAAAATTGACGGGCAAGGCCTGGTGTTGATGTACGGGTAGGAACAAGAACGCTACTAGGAACAAAGGGCATCGCTCCTAGGAGCAAAGGGCATCGCTACTAGGAACAAAAAGCTAGTAGCAACAAGAATTAGTAAGTAATGATACTAATGCAAAGACCGGATTAATAAATCCCCCCACATGGTAGGTCAACAAGGTCAAGATGATATGAGATACCGCTCATGAGGTCCACTCCCCCTGAAGTATCGGCTCAGGGAGCCATCGTAGTCGCAGTCGTCGTTGGTAGTAGGTAGTACGTAGTAGATAGTAGGTCGTAGGTAGTGGGTAGTAGGTAGTAGTAGGTAGTCGGTAGTAGGTAGTAGTAGGTAGTAGGTAGTGCTAGTGGTAACTGGTAGCAGTAGTAGTGGTGGTAGTAGTAGTAGTAATAATAGTAGTAGTAGTAGGAGCAGCAGCAGCAGTAGTAGTAGTGGTAGTGGTAGTCGCAGTAGCAGCAGCAGTAGTGGTAGTAGTAGTTACAACAAGTTTAAACAAGCACAAAGAAAAGGCCAGGGACACATGATCAAATTAATAGGGGGTAGTAGTGCAGATTATTGATGGGGGACCGGCCCTTGTGAGGGGTACCCTTTGTGAGCTTGTCAAATGATTGGTTTTAGTTGCTTTTTAATAAGGGCAATTTATAGTGAGCCCTAGACATTTTCAAGGATTTCATCAAACATGTAGTAGGTGGTGATGGCGGTGGTGGTCGTGGTAGTAGCAGTAGCAGAGCAGCAGCAGCAGCAATAGCTAGTAGCAGTAGGAGTAGCAGTAGCAGTAGTAGCAGTAGTAGTAGTAGTAATACGAAAAATTGACCTGGTTGTGGGCTCGGATTAACTGGGGGGGATTGTTGGTAGAAAACCAGACCACAGGGGGGGAAATCAACAGCCAATAATATTTTTAATTTGGGCAATTTCCGGCGGCTTTGTGGGCTCGGGTTGACTAGGGGTGATTTATTAATCCGGACTTTGCATTAATGAGAATTGAGCTAAATAGCAAAGGGATCTACTAGGACCTTTTCCACAAGCCCCACAAGGTAAGAAGATGCATTTACATTGCGCCGCATTGGGAGCCATATTGGCAGCCACGGTTTATATATGTTTCATGTGGCATGGCAGACGCACATGCCTTTACCATCACGCAATTGCAAACAGATACAGCGAGAAAACAGCGAGAAAGCGCAATTAACGCGCCCAAAAAATATGCCGAGAAAACGCAGCGCCCAAACAGGTGGAAGAGATATCAACATCAACATGTGAGCGTCAAGTACATGTACTTCAGAAATAGCAAGTAAAATGAAAGCAACATGCACGCAGATAAGTAGAAAATTTATAGAATGTAAAAAAAGCATGTGTGCTGCATGTGCGTATGGAAGAAGAGTGATGCAAACGGTTTCTCCTAACGCAGGGGTGTCCGGAATAGGTATCGTTTGGAAGGGTGAGGCCGGAATAGGGTGGGGGAACGGAAAAAAGGGCTGGTCCAATTGTCTCGTTTTTGGAGACACCCACGATGTCAATAATGCAGTCTCCCCCGGCTGGCATATCCGGCATCGTGAAGATTTGGTCCGAAACCACGTCAATTTTTATCAATCTTGAAAGACGGACTTTTCCTTTCAAGTCTTGGGCCTATTGCCCGCGGTCGGCATGCTTCTCGATTGCGCGTGTCAATGCTCGAATGACTGTCTAGTCGTGCGTTTCATGCAAACTCTTCGCAACGGTAGAGTACAACATGTTCGCAAACTGTGGAAATAGCGAGGTTCTTGATAGTCACGATGCAGCAAACTACGTAAATTATTTTGCCTTGTTCTTTCAAAGATGTTGAAACAGACAGTGTTTTTAGCTTAAAGTGACCGAGGACTAAACCTGACCTCCCCTTTTTAAAAAAACAGGGGGTCGGGCTTCAGCTGATTCAAGTCGTGTGTTGCCAAGAGTGTTGTTCGAAGAGTCTCTCAACAGAGTTTTCATCAAGAGTGTGTGGCGAAGAGTGTCTTCACAAGATCGTCACTTTGAGACTGGTTGACAAAGAATGTCTTTTTTGGTAAGTTTACCCGGTGGGTAGCACGCTACTTTGGATTTTTGCCTTTGTCTTTGGAATCACATTGTCCAGTGCTTTTGCGCCTTGACTCCCAGGATATGCACATCCTCCTTTCACAACTGAGCTACTCAATGACTCTGACTCATTTTACGTCGCAGGGGGCTGGCTTTTCTGCTCGGGGGCTGGCTTTCATCTCCCCCCTTCTCAGGTAAACATAGATAAATACAAAGACGAATACATATACATATACATACATGACATGACATTACATGGACACAGCGTGACAATGCATTAGTACACGCAAAGATACATAGTAACATACATACACATCATACATACATACCGACACACCTAGATACATACATACATTCATACACGCACACAAGTACATGCATACAGACAGACATACATACACACACAGAGACATATGCACGTAAAGACGCGCTTGCATGTTTGCGCGCCCAAACCTTCCTTCCTTCCTTCGTTTGTTTGTTCCTTCGCTCATGTATTCATTCACTTATTCATACGTGGATACGCATATACATACATGCATACATGCATGCAGACGTGTGACGTGACATACACACATAGAGACGTGTGTGCACGTGGATTCCCACATGCGCGTGCCAGTTTGCGAGTTCCCTACCATTGTTTCACCTTCACAGAACGAGGCGGCCACCAATCGTGGTGCCTCCTTATGTGAGCCGCGCAATTGGACGCATGAAGGCCAGCCGGCGGCAAGGTGTTTTGCAAGCGATTGTTCCTGCCATGTTGTACCAGCAGTTCCCAACAAATGAAGCATTCATGTGCATGGGTTTGTGAAAACGCTGGTTTAAAACGGTCTTTACCCATCCTGCAGCGAAGCGGAAGGGCAAACCTCTGATATCGTCGTATGTTTTCAGTGGACTGCGGTGGATGTGGTGGGAAGAGTTGCTTCTTTAAGGTGCATGCTCCGGCCAGCGATGAAATAGCTCCATTGGTGACGGGAGCATGCGGTTTCCTGGGAAGGTGTGGCAGTTCGCGCGTTATTTCGTGTTTGATGCGGATGTGTTTGCTGAAACTTGAAACCTGTGTCCAGATTGAAACACGCAAATCTACAAGAAAACATTCCTTACAGGGACGTTTCCTTTTCTCTTACACACCTTGTTTTTGCGTCCTGCGGTCGACAACTTTTTTGGCACTGCCTTGGCCCACGGCCCATCCACACCTGACAGAGCGGCCCAACCCAATTCACTTTTATCACCTGACAGAGCGCTGGAGCAGAATTCACGTCAATCAGACCTTTGCAAGTTTTGACGCCGGATCCACCGGTAAAAGGGGGAACACCACAAAAATATAGTCCTCCCAAAAACGCATGTCTTTGTTTTGAAGGAATGCGTTTGGTAAGTCCATCGAGCGGGCCAAAGACAACAGGCACGTGGTCGCCGAACTGCTTGGGCGCTGCAGCCGGATCTTTTGCTTGGTACGGGCTAAAGACGCCCAAACCGCACAGCTACGAGTCGAACAGGCTGGGAATCTTAGGAATATTTTCTCGGTCGATGATTTGTTTGAAGAAAACAATATACAGATATGATAATTAATACGGTTGTTTTTTGCGTACAACTCAGTATGCGTCCTTTGCGCCTGCGTGTGGTGACAAGCACCCCATACAGCTGAACCAAGGGATTCTTCGCACTTGGAAACCTAGGCTGCCGAAGAAGGAGCAACGGCAACAAGAAGAGGAGAGGAAGCCGGAACGACAAGAAGGCAGAGGATCGTAGCAAGAGGATCAGGAGGAACGCCACAAAGAGGAGAGTATGATCACTCAAAGCCCACTTCAAGTCAAAACATCTTCCATTTCCCGATCCCCCGAAACAGCGAAGTTGATGCACTTCGAGAGCACAAAAGGAAAGAGCTTCCACGGCGCCACAAAAGGGCAACGCGAAAACAGACTTTGCACACCGTGGGGATGCTCGCCTTCGTTCCCACTGAGCAAATCCGAGGCGCTCCGGAACGTTGGCATCGACAAAGCTGAATTCCAGGAGGCCGACTATGTCTTGAAGGGCGCAAATCACACTCCGATGTGTGCATGTGAGACCATTTTGTGTTATGGCGTTTGTTGCACAACACCTTGGACACGCTACCATTTGGAACCAGTTCAAACACGAAGTGTATGAGTGGCAATGTCAGACGGGAAGCCAGCATTTTGCGTTTCAGACGCACAGCCAAGCGTTTCCCGAGGCTGTCGAGGTGGTGCCAGGTGATTTGTCGCAGCGGAACTTCGGGCGATCTTTTGTGGAGATCCAGCGCTTGGCCGGTCGGGTCCCGGGCCCCGCGGAGAGAGACACGGCGCACAAGGCGTTCGTAAGGGCGGAAGGTTGAAAGATCAAGTGATCGAATGCAGTCTCAGAAGAAGGGTCCATCACGTGATGAAGAAAGCGCACACAGGAGGTGATGTGAAGCTGGTGAAAGAGAGAGTTTTTTGTTGAGGAACCAAGTCATGAACCACCACCGCCCGACAACGCCCGCTCCCAGGTCAACATCTCTTGCGTCACTACCTTCTAATTAGCGTTTTGCCAATGATATGAATGTTAAGGTGTAAGAAAAAACAAGACGTTGAGTTTCTTGCTACCCAGGAAGCGGAAAGAGAGAACAATGACAAACTGGGATATTATATTATAGGAAGCGACTAGGAACAAGTGCATCGCTAGTAGTAACAAGTGCCTTACTAGTAGTAACAATGTTTGCTATTAGGAACAAGTGCCACGCTATTAGTAACAGGTGCCTTACTAGTAGTAACAACGAAGCTATTAGAAACAAGTGCCATACTAGTAGTAACAATGTTTGCTATTAGAAACAAGTGCCACGCTAGTAGTCACAGGTGCCTTACTACTAGGAACAAGAAGCTGCTAGTAGCGGTGCACAGACGTCTCCAAAACTGAGATGAATTGTTTTTTGGCGCTACGAAAGGGGCTGGCATCGCTACGAACGGATTGGCGTCGAGCAAAGGTGGAACGCAAAGGTGGAACGCAACCTGCTCAGAGATGCTCCTAGTAGCGATGCCCTTTGCTACTAGTAGCGAACCTTGTTCCTACCTAGTAGTAAGGCCAGGAGCTCCTAGTAGCTTCCTTGTTACTACTAGTAAGGCTTGCTCCTAGTAGCGATGCACTTGTTCCAAGTAGCTTCTTGTTCCTAGTAGTATGGCAAGGAGCCCCTAGTAGCGTCCTTTGCTCCTATTGGTTATGTATTTTATGTTGGGTCCGGACTTGTCCTTTGTGCCGATCTTTGCATAAAACATAAAACCTTCATCTCGGCTGGACGATTTGACCCTTGCTTGGAGTGGCTGGTGCTGGGCTTTTGTTCAAAGTTACGCTCTTCACCAGTGCTCAGGTTGAAGGCCTGTTCAAGGTCCACGTGTGCACACCTTGCATTTGGGATTTTGATTGATCTTGCCTTCACACCCTGCTGGGGAACTCCAAGCATGTACCTCATGTGCCGGTCCTTAACCACCAGGCTGAAATGGAACATGTCCTCCCAAACTTTGCAAAGATACCTTCTCAAAAAGCAAAGCAGGTCTGAAAAGTGAACGTTTTCCTAGGTGACACTGGGTGGCTTGGGTAGTTGTCCTGAGCGGGGCACACATCAGCCAAACTGTGGAACAAAACCGGTCACTTGCTTAATCGTGCTTAACACATTTTTGGTTTACACGAAGCAAGAAAACTACAACGATCAATAACTACATTAATTGCTTAGACGCATGCAGCATCGTGTTTCAGAGGGTGCGTCCCAGAAGTTCAATAAAATGCATATGTTTGGAAATATGAAGGTTGATTGTGATACTTGTCAGATATGATGTTTGTGATACATAATTTGGTTTTCGATATGATGTTTGGTTTTCGTAAATTTCTTCCAGCCGTTGCAAGGTCGGGTCACTCACGTGATCAACGTTGCAGCCAAAGTGAACCTCACGGAACCGTTCGATATGATGCGGCAGGAGAAGATGTTCCTAATAGCAAACATTGTTACTGGTAGTAAGGCACCTGTTACTACTAGCGTGGCACTTGTTCCTAATAGCGAACATTGTTACTAGAATGGATCACAGCCCCCAGTTTTGAGAGATGGGATGGTCTTTGTACATGATGCATCATGCAATTCTTTGCCAAATCGAACCATTTTGCATGCGTACATATCCAAATATATTTGTATAATCTGGTTGGATAAATGTAAAACTACTACGGGTAGGGCGAACCCAGAGCCTGGTGGGGGAGAGCGGAAAAATGAGGTGGTCCAGAAGGTAGTGAAAAATGAGTGGTTTTTGGTGCGTTGGTGATGCGAGGGATGCAAATTAGCATCGCAATGTGTTCAGGACCGACCAGGTGTGTGAGTCCGGGTACGGGGCAGGAGAGGGGAGACTGAGTGACATTTGCAAGCGCAACAAACAGGGTTATTTGACAGTGAGGTGAGCTGACCAGGTGGCAGGTAGAGGACAGGAGAAGGGGAGACTGAATGCAGGCAGGAAACTTGGGCTGCTTGAAAAGGGCCCGCACCCCTCAGGACCAGTAACCGTAGATGGTGAGATTGGTCAAGTCAAGGCCTTGTGGATATAAGGCGTTATCATGCCGAGCTTCAATGTAAACTTTGCGTATCTTGGCCTTCTGCTTTCCCGTGGCTAACTACAGCACAAGCAAGTGCAGCTTCCACTTCACCCTGTAACAATAATAACGTATTACAGGCCCTTTTCTGGCGAACTTGTAGTTAGCGACCTTGTCCGAGTCAGGACAATGTGGATGCGACGGCGCACTTGCTGGAGTTTTGCTCTTCGGTGCGGCCGAAACCATTTCACCACGTTTCGACTATGGGAGTGTTTACGCCTGGACTCCTTAGACTTCTCCAGTTCATTGATGTGTTCTCATTTCATTTGATGCTGTGTACTCAGGCCAGACATGCTGGACGGGCAGAATTTACTTGTGCTTCAAGACACCAGAGAGAGAATTCTAAACAAGTCTAAATGACTTTTAGAGGGGTCCTTCCTCAAGAGTCCCCGACATACTGAAAAAACTTTGGTTCCGGCTGGCGGAAGCACAGGACCGACATGGCGCTGTAAGGGAGACAGCGCCTTTGGGAGACATTCGTTGCATGCCTCTCTATGGCACTGGGGATCAGGCAGTTTTCACTGCTACAACTTGATTGCAGTGAAAGGGAACAAAAAAAATCGGAAGGAAGGCATGCTCGCTAAACAGGTTGTACAGAAAGGTAAAAAATTGTTTGAAAACGCAGAGAGTTCAGAATTCCAGGCCAATGGGTATCCACAAAGCAAGTGGCTGGCAGAGAAGATGGTTTTCGAGGAGAGCTACATGTTGGGCAATATATATGTCATTTTTTTTGTTGGACATGTTGTTTGAATTATATTGTTCATTTTGCTCCCGAAGTTGTACGTCTCAGGCTGCAAGGCAGGGTTTGCCTTCCTTCGTCCACCGGCCTGGCCTGATTGGCCGGAGTCTCATTGTTTCAGTCTCAAGCCGAACAGAAGGATTTGATCCAACTGCAAGTTGAGTGTGTTGTTTACAAGAAAGGTCTCAATGTTTTTGTTTTTTGCAAAACGTTGCTTACGTGCAACAATGTTGGGAGTATTTGCAGGAAAAACAACGCTGTCCTTATCACGTGCCAGGGGGTCATTCCAGAACCGGGGCCGCAGCTGAAGATGTGTTTTTTCATTTCCTCTCCGATGCAGGGACCCAAGACAGCGATACTATACCGATCTATACCGTAGAGCTTTCATAGCGCAGATACGAAACAGTCGATCCCATGTAACATTTGTATATGCCCAGTACTTCTGTCAGAATAAAGTGAGAGCAATTCTCCAGAATTGCAATCACAAGACCTCACTGCATTGCTGCGTCAAATAGTTGCGTCATTGCTCAGCTTCGTGATCGAGTGTGCTTAACTATTCCTCTCGCAACCGCCTGTGCGTTGGTGGGCCCTTCCTAGGTGCTGCGAAGGTCTTTCTGTGTTTAGGGGATGTTTTGGATTTGCTTCTTGCTGTTCGGGTTTGTTCTTGTTTCGATTTCTCCGATTGCTGGTTTTTGTATCATCGAATACATATATGTTGTTTGCTTTTATGCGGCATGTGTTGCTATTCGGTGTTTTCTTTTCAGGTGCTTCAACTTGGCTGCTTACCAGACATGGAAGGTGACAAGTTCAATTTGACTCCGGTAGACTTTGTGGCCAAGGCGACGTTAACTCTGAAACACTAGGAGAGCCACGCGTTGGAGAGTCACGCGGCGTCACGCGTTTTCTTAGGCAATCGTCCAGATTATGTTGGAAGGTCACAGCCTGAGCTGAGAGAGTCAGAGGAGAGGACGAAATGCAAAACGAGAACTGGCTGAGGTGGGACTTCCAGTGGAAGTGTCCTTCACCCTGCCATGCCAGAGTCCAATGGCTTTGACTATTGTTTTTTTCGATAAAACTTAAATGTTTTCCATTCGGTACCGTTGCCCGAGGCCAGACAACTCCATCTCCATACACGACTTGGCGAACATTTTCCAGCTCTTGGGGTGCGAGCAATAAGGGTCATTCTGGGAACATGCTTGCAGCATTTTGCAGCGCTCAGTTTGTATTGGGGGTGCCCACAGGTACCAAAGTAAGACCATGGACTTTGCCTCCTCCTGAGACACGAATTACCTTGTTCGACCTTGTTTGCAGTTATGTGACAAAACTCTTTGCTCGACTTGGACGTGTTTGCTTTGACCGAAGCGACCGAAGCACGTCACTCACGAGTCAAGAGTTTGAACACCACCGCGGCGTGTTTGTGAGACGAGACCGCAAAGCGGGTAGAAAAGTGAGACAGGAAGAGAAAACGAGAGAGAGAGAGAGAGGCACCATGGGGCGTGATGGCATGTGTGACGGCACAAAGGGAGCAGAGCGTTTGCGTAATCGTACAGGTCTGAATCTTACAGGAATAGGTTTGATTGCTCGGCTTGTCTTCTTGCAGATGCAAAACAGTTGTCCGTTTCATGATGCAATTAGCTAGCTAGTGGAACAGCTTCAGCTTGAGTTCTGATGACATCCTGGATTCCCTGGCGCCGCAGTGTCCTGTGGTTCCGCCAGACCGCGTTTCATTTATGGTTTTTTCCCATCGAAGTGCATTGGGAACTAGTACGTTCCGGAGGCACCATTGGCAGCTGAACAATGGGAAGAATTTCGCAATTACTCAGAGTCACAGGAGGTTTTGCCAATCAAACTCGCGCTTGCTAACCCCAACGGCATCTTTAGCGGCAGAACCTACCGGCAAATTACCACGATATTTGTTTGTGCCCATGCCCCGCCAGGACCTGCCAAGAAGTTGGGTTGTGATTACTCTTCGTTTTTTTCTAGCCATCTACAATTCAATGTTGGACATTGGACATTGCTCACCTGACAAACTTTTGGGCTGATTGGAAGCGTTTGATTGCCCGTTTGTACTTCGAGGTTGACTGAGAGAGAGAGAGAGATAGAAAAAAAGACGAAAGAAAGGACAGGAAGTGAGATTAATAAAGAAATAAACAAATAATAAAGGAAAGAAACAAAGAAAGAGAGAGGAAGAGAGATGGGGGTATAAAGAAATAAATGTTCAACAGTTGCCTTTCACCTAGTTGAATGGTGTCAACCAACGGCATGTGTGTATTTACAACATGTTTGTGTTTGCAATCAGGAACAAGAAGCTACTGGTAGCAAAGGGCATCGCTACTAGGAGCAAGAACGCTACTAGTTACTAGGAGCTTGTTCATTTGCCAGCAGGGCCCCGGAGCAGACCCAGGTCTTGTGTTACTGCGCTCCCAGGTGGACTGGCAAAAGAAGATCTTGGCGGAGCCCTTGCGCTTCAAGAGCTGGTCCTTTTGCGCTGCACTAACAGTAGAGGCTTCCGGCATATGTTTTGCATCAACGGCCTTGAACATTTCGAAGTTGACAGACCAAATGTCCATTTTCGTTTGTCTCGAGGGGCATGGCATTGATTCCATGGCCGACAGCACTAGTGGGGCGCACGCCATGCGGGCAGCGCTTGGGGAGGTGCCGCAGTTGCATTATTGAGGATCAACGAAAATAAACGCAAAGATGAAAGATGAATCTAAAAAGCAAGATATGGTGGGACACTTTTTTTGTGAGACATTTCCCTCCAGTTGGCGCAAGACTTGCCAAGGATGCATATTGCAGTTTCAATGCCAAATCAAATTTGAAGCAGCAAATCAGATGGTATATTGCACAAGGCGGACACAAAACACAATGTGATGCAGAATTTGCTGATTGGAAGTTCCTGAAATGACTGTTCGGCAGGTTTGCTACCACCACCTGGAGCATTGTGAGCCATTGAGTGAAATTATTGAAAGAGCTAATGTGGGAGTGCCAAGCGTTCCAAGTGCAGGTCTGCAAGGTCAAGCCTTGGCAAGGCAGTTGCATGAAGGAACGAACGTTCTATTTTTCAGGAGCAATCGATTCTATCCGAAAATCGGACAGATTCCTTGGCTATTTTTGCGATTTGAACAGATTTGGGATTTCGCTTTGATTGCTCCTATTTTTGGACGGCAAGGTCGATTGGACCGCACCGCGAGACGAAGAGAACACGAAGAGAGAACGAGCTTTTTTGTGCAAAAAAAAGAGCTCAGCTCCGCCTGGCAAAAGTTGCACACGAATGACCTTGCCATGTGACATTTTGTGACACACGGCCGATTCAATGACCGTCATCCGTCGGATGTCTTGGGATTGTGGGAACTGAAGAGTGTTCTGAGTCAAAAAAAAGTGCATTGCAAAGGAAACATGAGTTTCATGAGTTTAATGCGATTCCAACAGTACAAATCAATAGGAGGGAACATGAGACCCAGTCAATCATTTGCACTGCATCCGGCGAACGAATCAAGTCCAGGAAATTCTTCAATAGAGAGCATTCAAGGTGCATTTCTCCGCGCCCCTCATATTTCAAAGCAGGTTTTGGTGTTCATAGGGTGAGACTAGCAGGCAACAAGAGGAAAGGTTTGTTGGGTGGAATCAACATCAAAATCCATGCGTTCATGAGTTTTTTTTAAGTTTTGCTGCTCCAAGTTCCGCAGAGCACCTATCACATCGGAAGTGCCCGTGCGAATATCCGCCAAGTCCGCTTAAGTCCGCCATATTGAACAAGACTCTCTCAAAAGCTAGTCACGCTTCTGATTAGCTGTCGGCACCTGTCGAGACATCGCTAGGGCTCGTCAGAATGCAAAGGTTGGGGTCGTGTCGGGACCGTGCGAGGTTGCCGAGAGGCGGACCAAAACCGCAGGCGGCACCCGTAGACTCGTAGACCGGCCCAACGCAACCGCACAGCGGTACACCTGGGAGCTGCGAAAACTGCGTGAAGACTGCGAAAGCATGAAAACGTATACTAGTAGCTTCTTGTTACTACTAGTAAGGCACCTGTTCCTAGTAGCGTGGCACTTGTTCCTAGTAGCTTATTGTTTCTATACATAATATAAAAACTGCATACAATCCACGTTTTTATACGCACGGCATCAATTGTAGTTCAAGACTGAGATGCACCATCGTAAGCACTTTAGTCACTTTAGTCTTTTCTCAGGTTTGTTCTTTTTGTGTATTGCTCACCGGTGGTTGTTGCTGTTGCTGTTGCTGCTGCTGCTGTTGTTGTTGCTGTTGTTGTTGTTGTTGTTCCGACTGGCTTGAGTTTGTGGCATCCAATAGGTTTCGTGCACCTATCCAACATCCAACAACCTGTCATTGCTTTGTGGCTTTGTGCTACTTGTCTTGCCGACAGCAAGTTTGCATGGTTTGTGACGTGGCCATTTTTGACCATTTGATCTAGAGTTCGCGCCGGTTGTCCACATTGCGCGAGGAAAGAGTCTGAGGCAGAGAAAAGAAATGGATAGGGCCGGTAGGGTACTATTTCGTCAAAATCTCATTTAATCAAATCAATTTCATCAAATTCTGAATTCTCAGTCGGCCTTGATGTGGTTTCTCGGCCTTGTCGCTTTGCAGCTGGTCAGTGCTGCGAAGGACTTGCGGTGTTGCCGGGTTCGGTCTTGGGCAACGACATTTCTCGAACATGTCAAAGGCGGTGGCATGTGTTCCTCAAATTCGGAGTTCACCCTCGGGAGGCAGAACAGCACAGGAAAGTGCCACGCTAGTAGTAACAAGTGCCTTACTAGTAGTAACTAGAAGCTATTAGAAACAAGTAAGGAGATTTCATCATATTCAGGTTCCATTGCATTACATTCAGGTTCCATCATATTGTATAAATTGGATGAATGGATGTTGATTTCATTTTGATTGCATAGCTCATATACCCTCACATGCCAACATTGCCCACCCTTCATTTGCCAGCGCCTTTTGTCTGCGACACAGGTTCGAGAGTCGGTTGCATGATCCACAAGTTGAACAACACAGCTAGAACCCGTCGTGGATTCGCTCCATTTGCTGCCAACCTGATGTCAAGAATTGACCCAAAAGAACCTGACTGACACTAACAAACTTAGAAACAATCTCATGACTCAAGACTCTCATCTTGAAAAACAAAACAAGGCAAGAAACGATTTCCGCTCAGCTGGGACCTTTGCCCAAAATCTTCGCTTCCTGTTGTCGTAGTTCGGCCGCCGACGAGCTGTATGGCCAGACCCACTAGCAGGCGCAGGATGACTAAGGGCAAGCGAATGCTTAAACTCGGCAACCGATTCGCAAGTGGCCTCAACCTGGCGAGGAGGCTCACTCTTTCTTTGATTTGCAGCCAAGCTCTTCAAATACTCTGATTTAGCCGAAGGGATCTCACCGGAGGCTGAAGCGGAAGGTGCAACTGAAGTGGATGCAGCTTTCTGATCCTTCAAGGATTTGAAAAACCTTAGAATGAGAGTGATGCACCAATACACCCATTATGTGAACAGCCGTGGCAATCACTAGCTGTTTTGCAATCTAGGAGCGCAATCCGAGCTTCCATAGCTCAATGTCTTAAACATTGAGCCGTAGATGGCTCAGGGAAAGCGTTCACATTCACAGCACCCACCTACCAAGCACCTTTCAAGACATTTCAGGACCTGAACAAAACGAAATTGGACCTGAACATCACGAAATGCCCTTAAGTGCCTTACTACTAGGAACAATAAGAATTTAATTAGAACTACCAGCTAATATTGGTATTTGTCGTGTCAAATCGCAAGCTCAACAAGCTCACCTCGCCCTTCAGGATTGCGCCAGTCGACAAGGCGGAGCCTTCATCACGCTCCAAATTGGTGGCTCTGCAGCTCAACGAAGTTCCCAATGGCTAGAGGAGATTTGATTCATTTTGCTCATGATTCAGCTTGGTCTTGTCACGCAACTCATTACTTATGCCTTATATACAGGATGTATCTATATATGTATATTCTACAATAATGGTTCCATGCAGTCACAACAATGAGTAAAGAAATGACACCTGAATCCAAAAACAAAAAGCCCTATGTAGAATTCAGGAAGAAGACTGACGCCACAAGCCAAAAACACATCCAAAATAATGTGTCAAAGCCAAAACAAGTCCAGAAGAATTGAAATTCAAAGATGGATTTGTTCAGGTCTTCATGCGAATATATGTTGTCCCTGGCCCGAGCTTGTTACGTGAGTAGTGTGTCCTTCCGATTGCAAAAACCTTCTAGGACGATGCTTTCATTGAAGGGGCTATTCGCCATGCTCGGCGAAGCCTTCGTGGAGGAAGCAGACGAAACTGAAACAGTGGCAAAGAGAGGGCCACCCGTTCGGACACCATGCGACAAATCACGTTTGGGTGCAAAAAAGGTTGGACAGATGGTTAAGCAAGAAATGTTTTTTTTTCAATTCCGAATCAACGACGCTGTTTTTCGGCAAATTAAGCCGCTGGTTTTCCTGATCCTCATGCTCACCCCCTCTCTTCCTCATGCTCTCATACCTTCCATTCTTCTCATTTTCAGCTTAAGGGCCTTCCCCGCTAGCACCAATCCTTGCACCGTCCACTCAAGTTTCTTGATGTTCTGTTCTGTTTGCTTTTTTGTTTTGCTTTGCATTTCACATCTTGTTCAAGTCAATTCGTCAAGAACACTTCAACTTGAGAGGCGCGGGAATCCCTGTTTTCAACCGTGTCTTGAACGGGACAGATTGCGATGAGAATTGGTCTTGGCACGCTCCCTGACTGCAGTTTGCTGCTAGCTCTTAAGGGGTCACATGTTCGATTGTGATTGAATTATTGAATTAATAGATTCGAAAAAGAAAGAATGGAAGGGACCAAGACCCTTCAAGGAGGACCTCAGGCCCAATTCTTTGGATAGCTCAATGCGAAGCATTGCGTATGTTGTGGTCTGAGGTGGATCCTAAAGATGTAACTTGGACAGAGGCGGCTGTTGGTTATCATTGTGATGCTGCGCGCGCGAAGCATGGTTACACTGACGCCACAGCTCTTTAACAGGTCTACGCAAGGGTGACTTGAATAAGACCAAGTTACTCTGTCTACCAAATTCTAATTAAATTTATAGATTAGTTGTTATTCTAATTGAATTCTTGTTTCTAGTAGCGAACATTGCTACTGGTAGAAAGGCCAGGAGCCCCTAGTAGCAACATTGCTCCTAGTAGCGTCTTTTCGTCTTCAGATTGGATCTTCCGTTCAGAGTCGGGCCTCAGGTGGCAACGGAAGTGTGTGACGCTACACCCGGATACATCGAGAAAAATGCAAAAGAGTGGATGTCTTCACCGGGGAGGTGTGCAAAGTCGTCAAAAGAGTCGTTGTTTTTGGAGAAGAGTCTCTTCAGTTTAGGTCGAAAAGTCGACTTCATATCCTAGATTAGTCTATTGGAAGCCTTTGGATGTGCTTCTTGCTTCCTGATCATTCTATATTCGTCCAATCTTCATGTTCTTTGGCGTTGGTGTCCTCATGGATCCTTGTGGTTGTCCTTCCATTTTCCTTTTTTGTACATGTTTTGTTTTTGCTTAGGTGGTGTCCGTGGACCACGTATGTGCTGAGCGTCGAGGACCGTCGCGGCTTGAAACCTGAGTTCATTGGCAAACCGTGACCGTGTGCACTAGCAGTCGCTAACACTGAGACCGCAAAGCATTTTGGATGCCACCGTTTTGTTTCCGTGCTTTGATAAACACTTCGCCTTTGCGGTTGTCACGGTCGTTTGTCATTGGGAACGAGACCTGGCAGATGCAGTCCAAGTCTTTTTTATGTATCACCTTTTGTGATCGCACAGAGCTCTTGGCGATGAAGCAGTTGACCAAGAGCAGTATCGAATGCAACGCGCTGCCACCAAGAGCATGCGCAATTTGCTCGCAGGATGATTTGTGTACAGGGTAAGACAGGAATCTGAGGCTGCTTGCCGCTTGTTTATTTGCAATCTTTCCGACACTGCGTCTTAAAAAGCACAGTTTCCGCCGGCACGGAAGCAAGTTCAACTGATAGCAGCATCCGTAGAAAGTCATAGCAATGATGTTCCTTAAACATGCTGACTAGATGCAAGATGACGGATGCTACACCAGCATTTTCAGTAACAAGAAGCTACTAATAACAAGTGCATCGCTACTAGTAACAAGGGCATTACTAGTAGTGACAAGAAGCTACTAGTAAGTAGTGTAAGTCAAAGTCGAAACACCCGTGTCAGTGCGACGTTTGTCGTGCTACTTTGAGTTCATCGGACATGGCAGCATCACAGCGAGCAACAGCATAACTTTTATAGTGCGGGCTCAGAGTTGCAAATCAAAAGCCGTGTGGTTCACAAGGGCGAACAGACCGATGAGATGTGCTCTCCAGCTTGTGCTTGCAATTGTGCAGTTAGCAATTATGTGTACATATATGCGCACATACAAATAGAGAGAGAGATTGACTTGTTTCCATTGGCTGCTGGAAGGTAAGCAGTTGGAATACCAAGTCCTGGTGGGCTTCACGCACCCAAGGAAGCGTTTGTAGAAAGGAACATTTCCAATAGCACGTTCCAAAAGCTTCTACGTTGGCGGTTTCTGTGCATTTTTCCACCATTTCCTGAGCAACGATCAAAGACCCTCAGTCTTGCAGGTCCTTATATATTTCTTTGTGCACAAAGTATGAAATGAACTGTTGGAGGGCAAGCCCATGATGCAAGCAAATTGCCTTAACCTTGCAGTTTGTGACATGAGAATGTCGGCGGAGCAAATTTATCAAAAGCCAGAAATGCTAAAAGGGGCAGCGGGCAGAAGCAACATCACTAGCACCATTGCGGTTTTGCGGCAGACACGTTGAAGCATGAACCCCCCAACTCCTGGATGCTTCGCTTTGTAATCCAACCCCTGCGAAACTGGAACTAACAGGTCACTAGGTCTTCTCCCAAACTGATTGAAAGTAGAACTGGAACTGGAAGTTGAACTCACCCCCGACCACTCATTGACGGAGCGGTTGCAAACTGTGTCCTCATATTCGTCCTCGCTCCGATGCTCCGGAGCACCCGAGCCCCGACCTCCCATGAAATTATGAAGCGGCCAGCAGGGCGCTCTCGATCTGGAACCCGGACCAGCAGGAAGAGCGGTCGTTCTGGGAAGTCCGGGCGGTGCAAGCCAGGAAGTCTGGCTACATTCAGAACGAGGAGACTCCAGAACCGATGCATGGAAACTCCGGTCAAAGGTCTCGTCTGGCGGTTTCCAGGAGAAAAACAAAGGTTTTTAGCAACGAAAGGGGCAGGAGACTAAGGAAAACACAACAGCTGAGTGGATGATGGCGGGGGTGTGCGCTACTGCCTGTGGATATGCCACGGGGCGACCTTTGAAGTAGTCGGCCGTGGCGGCCCAGTGCATTGGCCAAAAAATGCACATTTCGTGGCGCCGACGAGGGCTCCAGAAAAAACAACCGCCACCAGACGTTGAAGGACCCACAAAATACGTCATCATCGAAAACTACACACTCGATTGCCCAATTGTTCTTATTTACACACACACACCTACACCTTGTTCCTCGCAGATTTAGCCGCGCGGGCCAAGCGAATTCAATGTTCGAGACGATTCTCTTTTCGCAACCTTTTGGCCGCAGAAGGTCGCGCACCTCAAACCAAAGGGAGGACGCGATGGCCACTGACATGGCCACCGGCCGATGTGAGCGGAAAAACTTGCGGCCGTGCAATGTGGGGTCCAACATGCCCGCGGTTTGCTTCCTTGCTATATATTCCCGCCGTCTAGGTTTGAGCCTCGGGTGGTTCGCAAAGAATATGCCCTTGGAAGGTTTCCAAATTCCACCTTGGCAAGCTCTCCAGTGGCGTGCTCCTTTTGGGAGTTGTTCGGTTTTGACAAGTTTTGATCGTGGCAATTTTACCTTCAGGTGGCTTCCGTTGTTTTAAAACATTTTTCCTCTGCTGTCTCACCAAAAGTGTGCTTCCATGGAATCGCTCCCTTACCTAAATTTACGCCACAGAGGACTCCCAAAGGGTATGTTTTCTCCATATTTCATATTCGGGCCGCCGGTCACATCGGCCGGTCACCAGCCAGCTGCTCACCGGCCACCACCCTGCTGCACCGGCCCCCGGCCACTCTCCCGCGACCGCCGCACACAAAACACCTCGTCCCAAGGAACGGTGTTGACTCAGCCGTGCACTGCCAAGCCATACAATATATTTCTTTTGCCAAAACACGTGCAGGAAACTTAAACGGGACGCCTGAAATCAACACCGCAAGGCTCATGTTACCGTTTCCTAAGTCTTGTTCAGCATGTGCTTTCGTCTCAGAAGGGTGTGTGCGCGGAGGGTCGAAACATCGCATGGTGTTCTGCGGTTCGTGATCTTTTGCAGCTGCGGTTTTCGGTTCGTGCAGCGTTTTGCGGCCAGCAGGGGGCGCCCCATTTCACTCTGTGGGGCGCCCCATTTGCAGATGTTGGAAATGGCATGCTGCTTGAAGCAGGAGTGTTGTTTTCGGTGGCAGGTTGCCCAGGCACACAGGGAACCGATAACAACCTGATGTTCCACCAAACATGTGGAGAACGGCCCAATCCCTCAACCCTCACCGTCACGGCCCTCACGGTTGCGGAGGAGCACGGAGAACCGTGTTTGTTTTTTTTTTTCATCGTATGGATACCATGCCGAATTTTGCCGAAGGTCCAAAGATGACTGCCACCCGAGTTCGTGGAAAACAGTGCACGGCTCGGGCTCGCTTCGAATATGAAACACACAGCTCACCGGTGCCTGAGCTGAGGAGCGACCGCAAGAGGCAACGATCTCCGAGGCGAGAAAAATGGAAAGACACATTGCCAAACAACTAATAACTTAATCGCTTCTTGTTACTATTATTAAGGCACTTGTTACTAGAAACGATGCACTTGTTACTATTGCAAAGGCAATGCAACTATGAGGTTGGAGGCCATCGCTATGAGGGTGGAGGCCATTACTACTAGTAGCACATAGCGCAGCAACGCCCATGTTACCAGTAGCGATGTACTTGTTTCTAGCCAAAAAAACCTTAATACCAACGGCCTCCACTTTAACAGCAAAGAAACGCCTCCAACTTTCCATCAGGAAGGATATTTTTCAATAAGTTAGTTGTGGCTTCAAAAAAGTGTTATGCCTTTGAATGAACCACTGGCGTGCCACCAGTTTTGCCAAATCCCTGTGGACCATGGACTGTGAAGATCCGCAACAACTGCCGTGCTAGAAAGGCTTGAGGTACCGATATACAAATTTGCACGAACGAGGCCCAGGCAATGCAGGGCCGTGCGAGTCTCAGCCAAAGGGTGTGACGGAAGTGTCGTGCGACAAGGGCAGGAAACGTGAAACAACATCCGAGGAGTTTCACAGGCCCACACAGTTTCAATTGAATGGACTCTCATTTCATCATCAAGTTTTGCCTGGGTCGTTGCCGATGAGGGTTGTTCGCCGGTGCTGAGGATGCAGAAGTGAAAACCAAGGAGGCTTGAAGCAAAGGAACTGAAAGAGAGGGAACTGAATGTTGGAGGCCATTGCTTCTAGGTTGGAGGCGCTCTTAGGTTTGCATGGCTTTTAGGTTAGAAACTGCTAGTTGCAAGGTGCCTTACTAGGAACAAGAAGCTGCTAGTAACAAGTGCATCGCTAGTAGTAACAGGTGCCTTACTAGTAGTAACAAGAAGCTACTAG